AGAGGAAGAATGCACCTCAAGCTGACAGGTTGCTAGTTGGTTCGAAATGCTAGGTGCATATTCCCCTCCTTTTCATTCTCTTTTCCTCAAACTTCTCTATAATCTAGACTAGGACCTAAAATGTTACAAACTTATTCGATAACACTTTCATTATTTTTATTTTTATTTTATTTTTTAACAAGGGAAATGTTAAGTTAGTGAATTAATATCTGTTTAAGGTCAAGTTGAACCAAAGGTTGACAAACTTCACTTACTAATTGTGGAGTACCGTGACCCATCCATTGAGTTGCATGAAAAAGTTCGGAAACACTCTTATTATTAAACTCATATATATATTAATGAATTTTTCAACAATCAAATAAAATCCTAAATTTAAGTAATTTTATATACAAGTGAGTTGGTTAAAAAGATTAAAGATAATAAAAAAAAATTACCCTCGTATATAACTAACCATCAATCAAAAGTTAAATGAATTTTTAGGGATTCAATTGTCAAAGAGCAGTTGGTTATTGATTTGGCATGTTAGAATTGAGCTGGATACTGAATCTCAATGTCTCATTGGGGTTTGCTGACATGAGCTAATCATCAATTCTCTTCCACTAAAATTCATTTTCCCTTTTGTTTTTTTTTTCTAACACCGTATTCGGGCATCAGATGTGGCAAAAAAGTTAATGATTCTCTCCTTTTCTGTCTGTCTTATTCACAACAAATCCTCCTACTCTCTCTCTCTGTTATCTACACAAAACAAGACTTGTCCCTGGAGCAGTCTCATATGCACTATCTCTAAAACTGAGCAGCTTCATCCACCACCAGTACTAGCAGTGAACTGTAATCTGTCATCAAAACCACTCTTATTAGCTAATAATCTTGGCCTTTCTTCTGCAGCAGTTACTAGACAATGGGTTTCTCGTTTTATTCTGTACTTTCCATGCAGAACCCATAAAAGTTTCTGCATTTTCTGATGATTTCTGGCCTCTGCATTTTTGACACTCCAGTTTGGGGTCTGCTCTGAAATGGGTTTCCTCAAAGTTTCATGGGTTGTTTTGCTTTCTTGGGCCTTCTCTGTTTTGTGTTCCAGAGGCCATGGTGCTACTCCAGAGTTCTCCGTGAAGTTCTTAAAGGCTCCTCATGCATTCTCTCACCTCAACTATGCCAAGTTTGTCTTTGAGGTTTTGGAAGGTGGAAGTGGGGTTTGCTCGAACTGTACAGTCAGTTGTAAGGTGGGTTTAGGATTGATACTTAGTTACATTGCTTGATTGTTCTCTATGTCAGCTAAATTTCTTCGTGTTTCGTGAGAAAATATGGGTATGGTTGTGCTTCTTGCTACGAATCTCCTTTGTAGATAAAAAATTGCATGTTGTTGATCTTCATAAGTTTCAAGAAATCAGAATGGGGTCTTCCTTTCTCTTTTTCTGGGGTTATGCTTTCTCTATGGTTGTTCAAAATTTAGCTCTTCAATGCAAAATTGGAAGGTTAAAGTTCTTTTCTTGTTTAGTTGCATTGCATTTTACAATGATTTATTCCTAACTTTCTGAGTGATGCCATGCATGTAGCTGGATTATGGCTCTTCTTCAGATTGTGGAGCTGGGAATGTTTTGTACTCTGGCTTGGAGGATGGAAATCACACATTTGCGGTCTGTGCAAATGGGTCCCAAGGAGCAGGCTGCTCTACCTACAATTGGACTGTTGGTGAAGAAACCTTCCTTTATTCTTTTTGAGTTGTGATCATCTTTCCTTTCCATACACTATAAAGTCTTAAAAAAACCTCCTCATTGTATATTGGGACGTGCAAAAACTTTCTTACATGAAGTGTTTATAAATCATTTCTTTGATTTATTATCTGCCAAAAAACTCTCAAAGGACTATTGCTTCTTCAAACTTCTTAAACATCATTCTATGTATGTGCAATTACAGTGGATTTAGTTTCATATCATTTTTCGCTAATTGCTCTACCTTATTTTACAGACACTGTACCTCCCACAGCATTTGTAACGGCATGGAGGCCTTTTACAAACGCTCTGAATGTTTCTGTAAACATTTCTTTCAGTGAACCTTGTGCTGGTGGAGGAGGTTTCCAATGTCCATCAGTGAATGCCTGTAACGTGAGTAGGTGATCCACTGAAATGTATCAATTTTCCATTGTTTTTCATTTTCTTGCCACATTTACTTACAGTTACATTATCAGTACAGCAGTATAAAGATAGGCAAATTTCTATCAAGTAACAGTATCATCTCCTTGCAGCTACTGGTCTATGGTGCTGGCCAAGTCATCCCCTCTTCACTTTTGGTTCTGGAGCCAAACCTCAAATATTCTCTTCTTGTGGGTATATCATCTGACATTCTGTATGGACGAATCATATTGGTAATGGATAAAAATTTTTGCACCGACACAGCAGGGAACATATTTACAAGATCAGCAAATTCTAGCTTCTACGTTCATTTTGGTGAGTTTATTCATTACAATTTTGAAGCACCATCTATATTACATACCAAAGTATTTTCTGATTATGGTTATGAGTTATAAGTTCCTTGAGAAGTACTCTGAAATCTCTTATTAAGTAAATACACAGATTCCTCTAAAGACATTCATAATTTTGGCTTATGAATCTTTTGACCTCTCTCTCTCTCTCTCTCTCTCTTCCCCTTCCTTTTTTCATGTGGACATAGAAGTTTCATTAGCATTGACATGTTTTAGCTTTCTACAGATAGAAGAAGTGTGTTTGTTGACCTGAGAACTCATGTTCCTGAAAAGCTGCTTCAACTAAATGGGGCAAAAAGAATGGTTCAGGCAACTAATAGTTACAATAATTTAGAGGTGTATTTATACTTCTCAGCACCTGTTCTCAATTCATCAACTGAAATTCTGAATTCTCTGAAAACAAGTCAGGGCAAACTTTTTCCAATTAGTGGAAAAAACGCTGGTAATCGCAGATTTGGCTTCCTGGTAAGTTGGTTGCATGGTTAGTCTTGCCCTTCAATAATCTTGAATTCTCTTTTATTTATTTTGATCACCTCATTTGTACTCTGTCCTTTCAGGTTGCCAATGTATCTAGCATTGCTATAATCACAATAAGCCTTGATTTGAATTCTACAATAAGCAGGCAAGGGACACCGGTTTCTCCGTTTGAACCAGTAACTTTTCTTTATGGTAATGACATTGTCTAGAAGTTTAATGATTCATGTGTTGTAATGTTGAAGAAAGATAAAATGGCTATTCCATCGTGACGTTGGGTATACGTGTGATTTTCAGATTCTCAGAGGCCAGCTGTCAGATTAAGCACCACATCCGGTATGAGGACAAAAGAGAAGAGTATTCTTACTAACATAAAGTTCAAGAAGCCTATTTTCGGGTTCAATTCGTCACTTTTATCCATCTCAGGGGGACATCTGCAAAGGCAAGCAATTTCTAACAACAGAATATCAGGGGAGAGTGGGCACATTTAAAATCACCCATTTTTATTCTATAATAAGAAGTTTAGTGCTTCATTTATTTTTCCTTCAACCCATGCAGCTTTCATGAAATTACCAAGAGCATGTACATTGCGGAGATAGGAACAGATGGTGATGTTGTTTCTGTCAGTGTCCGTGAAAATGTAACTGCAGATGTTGCTGGAAATCAAAATTTGGCATCTAATATTCTCCAAGTGAAACATTGTAAGGATCTTATCCTCTTTTCAAGTCTTCAATGTGTTTTCTGATACAATTTAGTAACTCTGATATAAATTATGGAAAATATACACAGATAATACACCTATAATATCTTCAGTGATATCTACCTTTGCAACTGCAACTTTTTTGCTGACATCTGCTGCTTCTGGGCTGCTAACACTGTCTACTGCAAGCCTTCAATCTGTGGGGGCATTTTCAAGAGTACCTTCTTCTTTGGTGTCCGATCCTGCAAGGAATCTTATTGTATGATATCTAACTCACTTGAGTAAGCATTAGTTACTATTTTATCCCATGAGGATTGCTATTGGAAAACAGGGGTGGGGCTAGTTGGGGGTGTTCTTACTTCTTAGGGGCTCTTTAGTGTCTACCATTGTGGAAGAAGAAAACATACTGTTCACAACATACTGTTCAAAGAACTTAATTTTCTCTTTATTCACCCCTTAAGAGAGCGTGAATAATGAGAACAAGTACTTTAAACTTATCAATTGGCTTAATATCATTTTAAATAGAATAGTCAAAATTGCAAGCTATCCCATTATACTGAAGCTATTCTCCTTTTTACAGAGAAGTGCATGCCACATCCAAGTTTTTGCAATGTCTAGGTGGTTGGCAGTCACACTTCCAGTGGAATATTATGAACTTGCAAGGGGTTTAGAATGGAGTATTCCTTACTTCATTCTCCCATGGGAGAGTGGGTATGTTCAGTCAGTTATGGTTGGATCAAGCTCCCCAGGCAGCTCACAGTCTTTCATTTCGAGAACTTATAATAGAGGAATTTCCAAAGGTATACAGCCAAAAGAAGAGAATATGAAAGCCGCTGCTCCAGCATATGGTTTACCACTTACCCCAATGGAGTATGGATCATTTTTTGAGGTCGGAAATCACTTTTTGATCTGAATTGCTTCTAGCTCCTTATATTTAAGTGGTAAACATTTAGGGACTGTATCTTTATGTCTGCAGAGTCAAAGCATGATACCGGAAGCCGAATATATTTTAGATGAACAGCACCTGAATGGGTAAGTTGCTAAGAACTCTCCATCTTTTCGGTGGATCATAGACTAATTTCCTCTGTAAGTTAGGGAGTTGACTGATACATTGATGTTTTATCCTGTTTTTCTTATCTCATTTAGGTGGAAGGATTTTGATAGAATCATGTTCTGGTTAGCTGTGATTGGTGGCAGTTTACTATTGCTGCATGCATTACTCTTGATCATTCTAAAATTGAAGAAGCCATATTCTGAAAACTACAGTCATGGAGCACTTATCTTCCCAAGATTTGAGATATTTCTTGTAATCCTTGCGCTACCTGGTATCTGTGAGGCTTCTGCTGCGCTTGTTCGAGGTAACTTAACTATTGAAATTTCTCCTTTTAAGTTCTATGCTTTCATGAGTAATTTCATTGAACACCTATCTAATGTTAACTATCTTCTCTCTTATGTTCAAGGAGGAGCACGGGTGGGGGTTATAATTGGCATTCTGTTGCTTACTATTGTGGCTTTCCTGCTGCTGTCTTTGCTGTTGTTTCTCTCAGTTGGAATTACACTAGGAAAGCTGCTTCAGTACAAGGAAGTTCATCAAGAAGGCCAGAGATTTCACTGGTATCAAGATATTGTCCGAGCTACTCTTGGTCCTGGGAAAAAAGGGCAATGGTCATGGAAAAACAAAGAAAATTCTGTCTTTCTAATCCTGTTAGGCCCTCTTTTTGAAGATTTAAGAGGTCCTCCAAAATACATGCTCTCACAGATCTTGGGGAGCAATCCCCAAAAGCAGGATGATAGAATCATTGCCTCTGATGATGAAACAGAAGATGCTGAAGCGCCTTTCATTCAGAAGTTGTTTGGAATACTAAGAATATACTACACATTCCTAGAATCCGTAAAACGAGTTATTCTGGGGATCTTGGCCGGTTCCTACTTGAATAAGTGGTCCTCTAAAACTCCAACAATTATTTTATTATGCATTACTTCTTTTCAGCTCTTTTTCATTATTCTTAAGAAGCCTTTTATCAAGAAAAAAGTGCAGCTAGTAGAAATCATCTCTGTTTCATGTGAAGTGGGCATGTTTGCAACTTGTTTGGTTCTCTTGGAAAAGGAATTTTCTGCAAAGGATGAGACTATGGTTGGAATCATCATGGTTATGCTGTTTTTATTAGGATTCTTGGCACAAATGATCAATGAACTATACGCTTTGTATGGACATACAAAGCTACTAGACACGGCTGAGAATTCATTCTTGAAAGGGTTGAAAATAGCCTCAATGGGGTTCCTCTTATATTTCGTCCCCCAGAAACTGATGAAAGGCTTTGAAAGCAAATTCCCGGTAAGCCAAAGTGGAGGCATAGAAACTACAGATAGAGGTGTTCCTACGGACAGATACAGAAGCCCTGGTAGTAGGAGCTCAGGCAGTACAGATAAGCCATGGCTGAGACAACTAAGGGAACTTGCAAAGGCTAGCTTCAGCAAAGATGGAAGTAGGGCTCCCAATGATCCTTCAACCAGTGGGACAAAGTGGAGCGGGTTCTGGGCCACAAAGAGGAGTGATAGCTCCTCTGGAAATTCATCCTCAGATTATAAGTCAAAACCAGGAGGTTTGTACAAAGACTTAGAAGCCATTTTTGCATCAAGGTGATGCCACACCATCAACGAAGATTAAGAATTGATATCTTGAGTTTTTAGTTCAGGGCTTTTGTGTAACTATGAACAGATATTGACTATTGAGATAGAAATCTCTTGAAAACAATATTTTGTTGGTAATTCTAATGATTTGATCCATTTTCTGTTTGTAGAAATATAATTCTTTTCCTCCTGCACATCCATCCATATTCTTTGAATTGAATTGTAAAATGTTTAGATATTCTGAATTCCCCCTCCACTTCTATCTTACTCTCTTTAGTAAATTCAAGATTGGATGATTCTTTGGCAGGCTAGAATAGGCAAAAGGATGGATGATTTAATGGTTTTTTTTCTTTTTTTTTTTTTAATCTTAAATTACATAATAGAAGATAATCTTTTCATATCTTGTGCAATTCAAAACCCAGCACTTGTAAGAAGCCAATAAGCATTGAGTTACTTAGTACCTTACACTTTTGGTGAATCCATTGGTCTGATTGAAGACAAGTTAATTAAAAACGATTATTAGGGACTATCAATATTGCAGCATATGATATGTAATAGCAATAGCAATATGATAATCATTTGAATTGCCTTGCCAAGAATGAGTCTTTATAATTGAGAGTAATATTTTTCCTTACCCTTCACTTCCTTGCGAAGGTGAGACTTAATCTCTAAAGCCAACAATCAAATGATCAAAATATGTTCTAAATACATTTCAATAGTTAAGAATTTAAAATTCTGTATTGGAGATTTCAAAATCAAATTTTATGATGGATGAGAAGAAGTTTAAAAAATGATAAGTTATCTCTTGTTGTTGAATTATTAAGGTAGTCCAACGCACACAAAAAAAGAAAAAAACAATTGATCAAAATTCTATTTAGTTAGATTTATCACCAAGTATTAAGTTGTTAGTATTTTTATTTATTTATTTGTTTTTTCTTTGTGGGGAGAAAATAGGGGCGATTATGGGGATTGGGGGAAGGATTGCTTGGATTTGAATTTAAGACTATTAAGTGCCCTCACACAGGAGGTTAAGTACTGTTAAATTAGGTTATAATAATACCAATAAGAGTTTAGTTGAGTTGGTACTTATTAATTTAAATTTTATAATTTAAAATTAAAATTAAAGATTTAAATTTCTATAATACTAATTATTTAATTTAAAAAAAAAAAGAAAGAAAAAAAAGCTAGGCTACAATGTATCTAAATTACCATTCTAGTTTGACGATTGTTCGTTTGACTTAATTTCTAAAGCAGTAGTGCTACCTGCAGTTGCTTTAACACAATTGTGTTAAACACAGTTTTTTTAAAAGGTATCTCTAATTTTTTGAAAGTTGTTTTCTGCTCTTGAAAAAACTAAAGCTATATAAACCTGTAACTTCGACATTAAAGAATGTTAAGTTTTTAAATTTGATAATTTTATCAATTTCTAAAACATTTTATAACTATTTTATAAGATGAATGATCATTTAAAATTCAAGGCAAACCAGAACTTTATATTAAACTGTAATAGCTACTCACGTAAGATTTTTTATTACATTCAAGTTTGAATTTTTTATCAATCATCTAAATAATTCAGTATTTATCTCTTTTCAGTACTTATCTTTTTTTGTTAAAAATAAAAGATATTAAATTTGAATCGCATGATATACAGATGAAATAAAATAAAAAATAAAAAATAATTATCTTTTATTATGTAATTAAAATTTTAAAAAAAAATATTACTTATCATTCTCTATCTCTCAAAATGTAACCTTATTAAAAAAAAATAAAAATAAAAATAAAAAAAACTCCAATAATGCCAGTTCTAAATGTTCGACCCAATTTCTGATGACCTGATTCTGATTGGTTCAAGCCGCTCACCTTCGATAGTCTGTCAACCACCAGAACTCTTCCCATATTCTCTCCTCTCTTCCTTAGGAGCCAGCCATTTAGGGACCGCCATTCGATGCCACGGAATGCCTTTTTGAAGATCGATCCTCATCCTCCGTCACCTGTGTCTTCCCTTTGCCCCTATTTTCTCAATTCCCTTCCCTTCGCTTAAACTTCCAGAAAACAGAGCAGCATAAATAGTCATGGGTGCTGGCTTCAGTTCAAGCAAGAAAACCAAAGAAGAACTCCAAACGGTACTCAACAAGTCCAAGGAGATCGTCTCCTCCTGTCCGGTCGTGGTCTTCAGGTACACTTTTCGAATACCCATTTCTTGTTTCTAATGGAATTTCCAAATCCCGTGTTTAATTTGTTTGTTATACGCAATTGTGGGACTTGAATTTGATCGTCTGAATTTTCATTTCCGAATGCAATTTTGTGTGTTTTGCAGTAAAACCTATTGTGGGTATTGCAATAGGGTGAAGCAATTGCTGACCCAGCTGGGAGCAAGTTACAAGGTCATTGAACTGAATAATGAAAGTGAGAAAAGAACAACCGCTCTGTTCCTCTTGATCTAGGTTTGATTCAAGTTGAAGTGAAAAATATTGGGTTCAATTGTTACTCTCATTCTCTTCCAATGACTCTTTCAGGTGATGGAGGTGATGTTCAAGCAGCTTTGGCACAGTGGACTGGGCTGAGTACAGTGCCTAACGTGTTCATTGGAGGCAAGCACATCGGTGGTTGTGACAGTAAGATTGATTACTTTATTCGAATTCAATTGATAAATATTTCAATCCTGTGAGAAGTCTATTATGATGTTCTTGTCTTGGTCATTACAGCTGTGGTGGCCAAGCATCAGGCAGGTGAGCTTATGAACCTCCTCACGAATGCCGGTGCCTTTCCCAACTCTGCTACTGCGAAGCAGTGACTCTTAAAAGTCTTTCAAGACCAAAGTTTACCGTGGAGGGGCTGTAAGCTCATGCTATGTACAAAGGGCCGATATCCCTAGTTAAAGGTCTGAATAATGAAGAAAACTACTACTGCGTTTGCTTGAGTCCATTTCTGTTTTTATTTTTCAAGAACAGCAAAATTGTAAGCTCATCTGCAGCCATATAATCCACAGGCTCAAATTCATGAACAATGAAATACAGGTGACTTTGCTTATTTATTTCATCCTTATTACTTGAGGTTACATAGAAACTTGAATTGTTGAGGTACCAAAATCATAAGATAGCAGCATACATCACTGAAAAATGTTCTCTTCATTGGAGAGACACCAAAATTTCAAGCAATGTATTTTTGGTGAACTTTTCTATAACTTTAGTTTGTAGAACCAAAAGAGGAATGGGGGAAGTCCAGAGCAGCAGATGCTAATCACCTGTATCATCATTTTCTCATGGCCTCCTCTCTATCTGTCTGCATAAAGGCCATTTTATTTAGTATAATGTGCAGAGAAAATCTCAAGCACCCTTAACAGTTGACAACAATCTCCTCTTTCACCTTCTGCATCGAGGAACAAAAGAAAGACATACATGATTTTCAATCCTAGAAGACAAAGCATTAGTGCAGAAAGTAAATTTGCCTTACTCTGGAGATATTTATCCATGAATTAAGTGTCTCAATTGCCTTCCCTGATAAGTGCGTTTCACGAGCCATAGCTACTCCTTCGGACAGAGAATTCACATGGCCACTAACTAGGAGAGCTGCCGCTGCGTTGAGAACCTGAGGAGTTGCTTTCGCATTAGAATCTGTTCATGCACACGATAACATGGGGAGAAGGATGGTTCAGATAGGGACAATTGCAACTTACAAGTGCATCTGCAATGGAGCCTGTCTCTCCTGATAGTACGCGCTTTAGAACCTCAGCATTGTACTCTGGACCTCCACCTCGCAGGTCATCTAGAGTGCAACGAGGAATGCCAAAGTCCACTGCCCAATAAGCCTTTCCATTTTATTAGCATATCAAGACGGTATCACTAATGTATATGGTAATATCCATTTCATATGTTCAAAACACTTTAGAACAGAATCATGAATTAGTAATGATATCTTACGCGGATCAAATGGGAATTGCTTGATTTCTCCTGGAGTGACATCGAGGACTAATCCAGGTCCTGTATTCATATGATATGAGATGTCAGTACTACTTCAGCATAAAAGTAAGCATAGAGAAAAGCATTAGCCACAAAAGTATTAGAAAACCAATCTTCACTATATTTCTAAATAAACATGACACAATAATACCAGAAGGAAGAGGAAAAAGAAAACAATCCTACCAAGAGGACTCATTTCATCCAAGCCCTCAGAGTGAACAACCAATGCTCTTCTCATGCCAAATCTTTGTAGTGCCTTAGCCATTTTGAGGACCTACTTGACAAATGGTAATATACTTCTTCAAAACTGAATTAAAGGCCAAAAATTGATGAATTCCATGAATTAAAGACTAATGCTCTAGCACTTCACTACAAATGTCCTATCTACATTAGCACTGAAAGATGGTCAAAGCACAGATTATCTATAACAAAACCATTACATGCTAATGATACATCAAGTTGGGGTGGAACTCACAAGTATTTAGCATAATAATAGCATGATTAGTTAAACAGTAATTAAAAAAGGGGGAAAAAGATAATTTTGGAACATCAAACAAAATTTTTAAGAAATTCTCCACTTGGAATAGAGAGAACAATACTTCTACCATCGCTATAATCAATACCACAATAAAAAATGAAAAAAGAAAAAGGAAAAAGGAAACACATACCAAGTCTTCATGGTAAACGCCTACAACAGCAAAATGTACTTGTGCAGGATTCAACAAAGGGCCCAATACATTAAACACGGTTTTTACTTTTAGCTTCTTTCTGACAGGGCTGACAATCTTCATTGCTGGGTGGTATTTCGGAGCCATCATGAAACCAATGCCTGCTTCGTTCAAACAGCTTTTTATCCCCTTCAAGAAAAATTAAGACAAAAATTCAGACAATATCTGAATAGGCAGATAAATATATATTTTATACACATTTAGTTGAGTAGGATACCAACAAATGATGTATAATAACAAATCGAATGAGTTAAAAACAAGGTGGATTAGTTGATACTTTTCACAATTATCTAGAAACATTTTTTTAATCAAAACGTGAATTACTGTTTGCTAAAACAATTAGTGAATGAATATTTGACCCAGACATTTCTAAAAAAGTTTTATTAAACTCATTAAAAAACTGGACAAGAAAAATATTTCATTCCAAGACTTCTTATCTGTTGCATATGATAATTGTTTGGACTGATTCACATCTACCAATGAAAACTTTTCACAATCGCAATCCAATTGCCAGATAAGGATTATGCTCTTTAGGCACCGACATACATGCATAAACCAAAGGAAGTATGGCCGTTGCTGAATGAAGATTGAAGAGAAAAGAAGCTCATAATAAAATGCAAGATTACCAATAATGCAACTACAAATGACATAAACTGAAAATGTACCAACCTCAGGGTCCAAGTCAATATCTACCCCCAAAGCTTCCAAAACATCGGCACTTCCACATGCAGAAGAACTTGATCGATTCCCTTGCTGCAGTTTGGACACTCAAATGCCGTCAGCAATAGATAAGTACATCTCAAGCAACTTAACATGCACTGTTAGTAAGAATAAAAAAAAAAAAAATCAATACCATAGCATTTAGATGATGAGGATTATCACCTTTGCAACTTTTGCACCGCAAGCTGCAGCAAGTACTGAAGCACCTGTTGAAATGTTAACAGTATTTGCCCCATCCCCACCTGTCCCAACAATGTCAACCACATTCTTTAATCCCTCCACCTTCTTAGCATGCTTTATCATCGCCCTAGCCAATCCCACAATCTATATAGACAGTACAAACCCCTCAATTAATTTCTATTTAAATGCCAACGATCACTTTAAAAACAATATTTTCCTTGAGGACGAATTTGACCAACGATCAGAACGTGCAAAAACTACTCTGATTTCAGCTTTAAAAACAAGAAAAGCACTTACTTCCTCAAAGGTCTCTCCTTTGGCTCTTAACAACACAAGGAAGGCACTAATTAAAGCTTCGTTAGCTTCATTCAGCAAAAAATCCAGTGACACCTCAGCCTCATCCTCAGATAAATCCACTCGATTAATCAAAGATTCAATCAACTATTGAAAACCCATCAACAAAAATACCCAAATAAATGATCTTTCGAAAACCCCAAAAGAGAAAACACCCAAAGAACATTAAATTCAAAAGGAACATCATTTACATCTTTGAAAGAACCTGTTGTTGATGAGTTCGATTTGGGCAGAGCAGCAGCGCTGGCAGTAATTACTTTCCAATTACTCTGCTTTCTGTGGAAGCTAGAAGGAAATGGGGATAATGACGAATTGGGAGACGAAGAGCGGCGGGCAAAGGAGGAGAAAGGAACTGCGCCGTACTGGAGGGAGGCGGCCATTGTCATTGCTGTAGTAAAGTAACGGCGGCCGGATTTTCAGAACCTAGTCAAGGGAGCTCGAATTCTACGTAGGCAGGGCTAAAACAAAGACAGTTGTAAGAGACAAACAGAAGGGCCCAAAAGGGTCCTGCATCAAACTGGCCAGATTTATATCAACCAATAAGAATGTTTTGATGATTGAAATTATAAATTATTATCTTTCAAAATATTTATTTTATTTTATTTTATTAATAAAATGATTAATAATTTATTAATAATTAATAAAACAATCATATCTACAATTAATTAATCAACTCATAAAAGTTAGTTTTTCCTATTCATGGTAGGTAAAAAGTGTTTTTTAGTATAGATATATTAGTATTGGATTTTTTTTAATTTGTATTTTTAGATGGTAGATTAAATGTATATTAAATATATAAAAAAATATAAAAGTTAATATTAATTTTCGTGTTAAGTAAATTTAATTAGATAATTAATAAAATAAAAATTAATTTTTATTTTTTAATATAAATTTGTGATGAAAATATGTATTTAATACATCTATTAATATTATTAAAAGTTTGTCTAACATATATTTTCAAGGTACATATTAAAAATATAATAAATATATTTTTTAATTAATTTATATAAAAAATTATAAAAATTAATATATATTTTAACATTATTAATATATAAATAATTTTAATTAATTAAATTAAAATCAATATTTATACTTTTAATAAAAATTAATTATAAAAATATATATTTATTAAATCCGATCATGTGCTCTTAAAAAACCTCATCACTAAAACATCAATAAATATGGATTACCATGCATCAAAAAAATAATAATAATATGGATGACCCTTCTATTAAAGATGTGTTTCGTTAAAAATTTTCTCATAAAAATTCTTGATTAAATTTAAAGATTGATAATTATGTTAGAGAAATTAAATATTAAAATATCACTTCTATTCTTTATCTATTATAATTTTAAAGTCTACAGATATTAATTAAAGTATCCCTCTAAATCTTGGAAGGGACACTTTCGAAGAAAGTACATCAGACACCACTAAAGATATTTTTGGTAAAAATAATAATAATAATAATAAGTGCATCTTCTGTTATGATATTCAATTCAATTTTATACCATACCCTTTATAGACTAAAATATTAAATATACAATTACAATAATTAGCAATTTGGTCGAAATTACAAAATGATTCTTAAACTTTAAATTGTGTACTAATTTAGTCTTTTAACTTTTGAAAATGCCACAATGGTCCTTAAACGTTTGGCACTGAACGGTCCTTCCTTTTGTATTTTGTTAACGGACACTCAAGGTAACAAAGGCCGTTGTGGCACGTTAATTTGATGAACTGGGTGTTTTACTTAGAAAAGGTGCCCACTAAAACAATTTTTATTAAATTAAAAATGATAATATGGACATATATTAATGGTTTTAAGTACTTCATTAATTAAAATATATGAAATTATTCAATTATCCCTTCACACTACTAGCATGTCTTTTTTAAAAAATCATTTTGTTATTTCAAAATTTTTATTATATATCTAATTTAATTGACTTAAAATATAATGAAATGACCAAAATGAACTTCTCTTCAACCTCTCTCCCTGTTTTTCCTTAAAGATCAACCTATCTCCCTCCTTTTTGAACAACAAAATAAATTTGTTTTTCA